ATCCCAAATCTTTATTGATTGGGTGGGGCCAGATCTCCCACGTACTTTCTCAGGGGTCACGTGTTTTTATGCACAATGTTTCTCTTTTTCTCCACTGTACTAATGTCTAGGTCCTTGGCAGACTTCAGCTTGGATATTGCTTCTTCAGAGGGTTATACTCAGCTTTTTGCTCCTACTATTTTCTCTCAGGGTGTCCTATGCTTTTCCTTCAGGACATGTATCAACACCTGTAATTATAGGTTTGTTGATCTGCCATTCATTCTTTCTCCATACTGAAAGCTCCATAGTAATAGGGACACTGTTAATCAACTGTATATTTAAGCAGTACTTTGACAACTGTATACTAAGTATTCACCAACTGTTTTTTGAGTAAGAATCTATGATTGTTTACCTCCAATGTAATGATATGAATGGGTAGAAGTGGGGGCTTAGATGTGTCATGTCATGTAAGAGTTAGGAAAAAGATTGACTATTTTTTAATCCACTGAGTTACATAAAGGTCAAGGATTTGGCTCTAGATTTGAGTTCTGTCCACATTGGAGTTTAAACATAGGGAAGAATGCTTGCTAAAAAAAGAATAGGTAAAATAGAGGCCAAATCATAAAAAGGGGGGAAAAAAAAACCTCTAATAAACAATCACCTACAGTTAGACCAGTGGCTGTTTACAGATGGGGTCTTGAAGGGGACAACTGATAGCCTCATTATATAGCTTAAGATGGCCCCAAAGTCATGGTAATTGTCCTGAGTGTTGAGATTGTAGGCATATGCACACACTTAGCACTGATTATTACCAGTGTCTCTTTTTTGTTGCTGACAAAATGCCCTGGCAAAGCAACTTGGGGAAGGGAGTGTTTATTTTGCCTTCACAGTTCCAGGTGAGTCCATCACAGCAGGGAATATACATTGGCAAGAATTGGAGGCAAAGAGTCACATTGAACCCACATGAATAAAAGCAGAAAGTCCACCTTCTTGTCCTCCATTCTGGTCACTCCAGGTTTACTCTTAGTCCTGCAGCCTGCCCACAGGAGTCCCTCTTCCCAGGGCACTGCCATCTCCTAGGGACTCTGCCTCTTGGTATGAAACTAGGGGGACCCTAGTTCTTTCCTACTATTGCTCCTTTGGCCTTCATTAAAAGCCCATCTCAATTCCTGTGACAGATGTCCACCGACAGAAACTCTCTACCAGGGATAACATTTGGCTAAGACCTAGAGTGGGCAGCAGCAACCAAAAAAGGGCACACTTATCCAACAAGGAGATCACATAACTACACCAAGAAACATTTAAAATGTCAGATGCCTAGATCCCAGCACAAAACCACAAACAAGAATAATCAAGGCAATATGCATCCTCCAGAAGCCAGCAACCTGAATGTACCCCAAGAAAAGCTATTTGCCTGAAGTACAAGTTTTAATTTGCATTGCCCTGATGGCTAAGGATGTTGAATATTTCTTGTTTTTTAGGTATTTGTTTTGTCTTTTGAAAACTGTTCAGTTCTATACCCTGTACTTTAATTGGGTTGTTTTTTCCCCTTAGTTCTTTATATATTCTAGATACTAACCTCCATCAGATGTATAACTGGTAAAGATGCCTCCCCCCCATTCACTCCCATGATGGTGTCCTTTGCTGTACAGAAACCCTTTAGCTTCATGAGGTCCCATTTATAGTTGGTCTTAGTGCTTGTGCTGTTTGTGTCCTGCTCAGAAATTACTCTTCTGTGCCAGTAACTTCAAGCCTATTTCCTATTTTCTTTGTCAGACTCAGGGTACCTGGTCTTATGTTAGGGTCCTTAATACATTTGGGACTGAGTTTTGTGGAGGATGATAGATGCGAATCTATTTGCATTCCTCTACATACAGCTACCCAGTTTGACCAGAAACATTTTTTAAAGGTGTTGCATTTTCCACAGTATTTTTTTTTTTTTTTTTGTCAAAAACCAAGTATCTGTAGGTGTGTAGAATTGTATGGGTGTTCAATTCTATTCTACCAATCCACCCCCTTTTTTTTTTTGTTTGTTTTTTCGAGACAGGGTTTCTTTGTGTAGCTTTGCGCCTTTCC